CAAGTTCGACAAAAGAAAAGCAAGCTGCTGAAATAAAGTCGAAGTTGGATCTAGATTGGAGTAAAAGACTTCAAGGGTTGTTTTATTGTAATGTTTTTGTTGATTTTTCCTTTGTTTTTGAAGTTTTTTTCTCTATTCTAAATCTAATTTCGACCTTATTTCAGCATCTTATCTTTCTCTATCTTCTAGTATTCTTCTTAATCTGTCACCCAACCTTAATTCTACTATAATACTGGCTATCTCTTCTTTTATATTTTAACAACTGGGTCTTCTCCTTTTTGTATTGCTTCATGAAAACATTTATAGTCTCTTTTTATAAGTGCAAGTTCAGTATACTCTAATTCTCCTCTATTATACCTTCAAAATTCTTCGAAAAGTTTTTCTATTTGTGCTTCGGCTACTTCTTTTGGGAGGAGTTGTTGTTCAGTATATTCTATTATTGTCTCTTCTACTTTCATATTTATCATTTCATCTGTTATTGCTGTTGTTATATTCTGAATAGCTTTTAATAGCTCTTTTTTTGTAACAGGTCTTTTTTCAGCAACTTGAACTAACTTCTGTTTCATGTAACTTGTTTTTTGGTTATTGTTGTTTGTTGTTGCTACTTGTTGCGATTGTTTATCTCCATTGCTTGTTTTTGTCATGTGGTTTTGGTATGTTTTCTTTGTTTATTTTTTATTACGTGTTGTGATTCTTGTACTACCAAAACAGATATGCAATTCAGGGTCAAGGCTGATTCTTCAAAAATTTGCAAAGTACAAAAAAATATCAATGACTTTTCACGACTTCTTCTATTTCTTTGCTACTTCTGTTCCTTTTACTCAAGTCTCTTAAAAGATTGAGTGTTTCTTGTAGTCCTCTTCTTCTTTTCTTAGAGCTCCAAGATTCATTTCTTAGTAGCTTTTTGTGTTTTTCGTAGTATTTATTAATTTTGTATTTCAGAAAATTTGTGTTTTGATGATCAGTGGAAAGAGTTGTTGATCTGTGATGATACAGTATTTAAAAATAAGGTTAAGTTACTTTTTAAAATAAATAAGTAAGAATATTCCTCCAAAACTGTTTGGCTTGCAAGCAGTATTGCACAAGTTGGAAAAGTGGTGATGAATTCTACAATAGAATGTACAAAAATTATCTATGAATTTTTAACTGATAAATCTCTACGAAATTGGATATCTGCCTCAACTTTATATATCTGGTATCAAGATGTTTCTGAACTTTATATTACAACACGAATTTCTCAAATTGCACAAGCTTCAACCTTCAGTATTATAGCTGATGAATCAACTCGTGGCAAAATAAAAAATTTAGTTATTTGTTATCAAGCTTGGAACAAACAAAAACAAACTTCTATTTTAACAATAATACATCTTAAAAATATTTTTAAGTATAATAGTAAAACAGTATCTAATTCTGTTATTGAATCGATTCAAAAAGAAGATTTTGATATTACAAAATGCATCTTATAGACTATGGACAATACTACATATATGTCATTAAACAAAAATAGAGTTGTTGCTCTTTTTAACAAAATAACTGATATGAATATATTTAGAATTAGCTATATACTTCATATTATACAAATCATTCTTAATCATTTTGAACAAAATGCTTTTAGAAATCTTTCAAATACTACTGGGTTTCTCAAGTTCCATATCTTTACAATCTTTTGTATTTGGCTTGGAGTTTATATAATAGATATAATTCCAGTTGTAGAGATAAGCTTTTTTAACATTACTGCTGAGATAATCAAAAATTTATATGAGAAATTGTTAGGTTTCATTATACTGACTATCATTTACCTCTTCAATCATATTAGGAATATGAGTTATGAACTGCAAAACAGTATCTTAATCATTATAAAGCTCATAAACAATTTACACAATAGTTTGTTTAACAATTAGAAACTTATTATAAAACACCAAAATTGTATCTTAGAGACTAAAATCTTTTTAAATCATAAACAATGAACCTGATACTTAATATTCAAATAAAATATCTGATGAATTTTGCTAAGTATTTTTATAAACTTTTAGTTTAATTTTCAGTTATTCAAGATCCTGTTTTCTGTATATTACAAAATGGTAAATTAGTTCAATTACTACATAGTAGAAAAGCATACGAATTACTGGATAAAGTCTATGAATGAAAAGAATATCTTAAAAACATTAAAGATAACTTTAAAATGTTTTTTTTAATGAGTTATTAGAAGCTGTTAATATATTGCCGAGTAACAAATTTAAGCAAATGTTTAATAATTTAGAAAATGAAGTAAATAAAGCATATGAATATTTCAAAAAATGGATAAACCAATGGCTACATTTACTTCTTGTAATTTGTCAACTTGAAGAAAATCACATGCAGTTATTTACAAAAAGCTTTCAATTTGTGGTTCTTAAAAAGAATTGAACCAAATTATCTTCAGATTTAGAATTAAAGTATGCAAATGAATTGAAGAACGATATTGATAATGGAAATACAAATTATTTTAGCTTGTATACTTTATTATTACAAGATAATGACTTTTATAAAGAATTTGAAAATTTCTGTCATATTGATAATTCGAAATTATATGAATTTTCTAAACTTTACAACTTTGTCCAAACTCATATTTATTTTATTGTCATTCACCAACAACAAGTTGAGGAACTTTTTAACAAACTTTATCTAAAAACCCATGCTAATATGTCTTTATCTCTAAAAGAATCTAAACTTTGCTTAGTTTTGGATAAAATTGAACATGAAGATTTGAAGTTGGGTCTTAAGAAAGTGTGAACCCAATAAAAAAAACAATCAAATACCACATTGCAAGAAATTCAGTCACTACAATTCAGAAAAGAAGTCGCATCAAACTTCTTTCATAATTTATTAAATTCATAAAATAATCATCATAGTTGTATTGATATATAACTTATATGATTAATTTGTATATATATATATCGATAAATTAATTTTATTATTAAGGGTGTGGTAGCTTAGAGTAATAGTTAAGTTGTCACCCCCAAGTGGCAGGTCTAGAGTTTGAATCCTACTAGAAACATTTTTAGAAAAATAGGCTTGTGTACTGGTAACAATTATTCGACGATTGGTTAGGTATATTACTAGTAATCTTGATACTACTATCTCGAAATGGAAGTTCTTAGACGATCCAAATCCAAGAAACCAGAATAATTAAAACCTGTTTAGCAAGACCCGAGTAAGGAGGTAGTGAAGATCTTTGACGATACTGTGAAAAAGTCAAAAACCGAAGATCGAAGAACCGAATAAAAAGCCTGAGGCAAGAAGGGTCCATTAACCTGGCTGTTAAAGTCATACTAGAGAAAAAGATCCTATACTACAAAATTAGGAACCAAGGGAAATAAAACTAGAAGATACTTAAAGCCTAAGTACAATGACCTGTCTGGGCTAACTGGTTTGGTAATTGGGAAAGGATCAGTATAAAGACCGGCTTGATGTGAGTATTGGGATTGAAATAAACCTTGCAAGGACATCGGATACCAGAATTATGCGGTTTAATAGTTTGCCCTGACTGCTAATGGTGGTTTCAGCTGCTGCAAAAGATATTCATAGCCTAATCTGGAAGTATGTGGAACATAGAAAGATTAGGAGAGTATATATTACACCCTCTCTAAGGCAACCTGGTAGTATGAGAACCCTACTAGGTTATCTATAGAATTAGAACACAAGTAGTATAACAGATGTCGATTTGGGTGGTCTTCAATAAGAAACAGCATGAGGTTATGTGCTGGCATGATTAAGGTGGATAGTACAGGATGGGAAACATCAGAGAGTTTAAATAGGTAATTCAAATAATAGTGGGTTACAGATATGGCATCTAGTGTAGACCCTAATAATAGGTAGCTACTTAATTAGGCGCTCAAAAGACACAGGTATGGCTAGAATGTATTCTCATTAACCAATAATGAACAGGGGGAACCGTCCAATGTTACACGAAGTTCATGTATTGTCACATGCTGTTCAGCCAATCAAATCGTAAGGTTATACAAGTGTTCTCTAAAGCCTCTTTATTTTTAAAACGTTACTCATATCCAACAGTAGCTCTTGTCAACTTTTTACACAAAATCGTTTCAACTCTCTTTTTTCATTCTTCACTATTCATGTCTTTGCCTTCAACAATACTCACATTATTGTTATCCCCAATTACAGTTTCGTCATCACTATTAACACCTTCATTTTCATCATCATCTAAATTATCTTTAGGCATATCATTCTTTGTATCTAGCTGTTCCTT